TTTTTGAGACAGAGTTTCACTCATGTTACCCAGGCTGGAGTGCAATGGCGCGATCTCAGCTCACCGCAACCTCCGCCTCCTGGGTTCAGGCAATTCTGACTCAGCCTCCTGAGTAGCTGGGATTACAGGCACGCGCCACCGTGCCCAGCTAATTTTTTGTATTTTTAGTAGAGACGAGGTTTCACCACGTTGACCAGGATGGTCTCGATCTCTTGGCCTCGTGATCCACCCGCCTTGGCCTCCCAAACTGCCGGGATTACAGGTATGAGCCACCGCGCCCTGCCTCAATAAGAACATTTTCAACTCACCCTTTCAATTCCTATCCCAAAACAGTTTCTATTCATTAGATAGTCCTACACAGGCCCCATTACTTCCCCGCCTCCCTACTACCATTTTCAAAGCAGTCGTCTTTCTATAGTACCATATCTCCAGTCCTTTTCTTCTTAAAAGTCCTCCTCTTTTATGTCCTAATACTTTCTTTTTTCCGTTTTGCTCTTGTTACCCAGGCTGGAGTACAATGGCGAGATCTCAGCTCACCACAATTTCCAGCTCCCAGGTTCAAGCAATTCTCCTGCCTCAGCCTCCTGAGTACCTGGGACTACAGGCACGCACCACCATGCCCGGCTAATTTTTTTTGTATTTTAGTAGAGACGGGGTTTCACCATGTTGAGCAGGATGGTCTCGATCTCTTGACCACATGATCCACCCGCCTCGGCCTCCCAAAGTGCTGGGATTACAAGCGTGAGCCACTGCGCCCGGCTGTCCTAATGCTTTATTTTTTTTTTTTCTGAGATGTAGTTTCACTCTTTTTGCCCAGGCTGGACTGCAATGGCACAATCTCAGCCCACTGCAGCCTCAGCCTCCCAGGTTCAAGGGATTCTCCACCTCAGCCTTCCAAGCAGCTGGGATTATAGGCACAGGCCACCACGTCAGGCTAATTTTGTATTTTTATTTTTATTTTATTTATTTGAGACAGAGTCTCGCTGTGTTGCCCAGGCTGGAGTGCAGTGGTGTGATCTCAGCTCACTGTAACTTCCGCCTCGTGGGTTCAAGCGATTCTCCTGCCTCATCCTCCTGAGTAGCTGGGACTGTACAGGTGCACACCACTATGTCCAGCTAATTTTTGTAATTTTAGTAGAGACGGGGTTTCACCATATTGGTCAGGCTGGTCTCAAACTCCTGACCTCAGGTAATCCACCCGCCTTGGCCTCCCAAAGTGCTGAGATTACAGGTGTGAGCCACCACACCCAGCCTAATTTTGTAGTTTTAGTAGAGACAGGGTTTCTCCATGTTGGTCAAGCTGGTCTCCAGCTCCTGGCCTCAGGTGATCCACCCTTCTGAGCCTCCCAAAGTGCTGTCATTTCAGGCGTTTCAGCAACATCGCCTGGCCCATGATACTTTCAAACTGACACCTCTGGCCTCATACAAAAGACCTCCAGGAAGCCAATTATAGAAAAACTTTATTTATTTATTTATTTTAAGACGGGGTTTCACCATGTTGGTCAGGCTGGTCTTGAACTCCCGACTTCAGGTGATCCGCCCGCCTTGGTCTCCAAAGTGCTTGGATTACAGGCGTGAGCCACCACGCCCGGCCGAAAAACTTTATAATTAATAAATGCTTACACTGCCGTCAATTCTTACAAACACTTGATCCTTACAATAAACCAATTAGATACACAAGGCTGATGTTACATCTTCATTTTACGTTTAAGACCAAAGTTATATAGCTGGGGAAGAGCATAAGCCCAGAAAAGAATTCAAATTTTGAAGGCCGGGCGCGGTGGCTCAAGCCTGTAATCTCAGCACTTTGGGAGGCCGAGGCGGGTGGATCACGAGGTCAAGAGATTGAGACCATCTTGGTCAATATGGTGAAACCCCGTCTCTACTAAAAATACAAAAAATTAGCTGGGCATGGTGGTGCGTGCCTGTAATCCCAGCTACTCAGGAGGCTGAGGCAGGAGAATTGCCTGAACCCAGGAGGCGGAGGTTGCGGTGAGCCGAGATCGCGCCATTGCACTCCAGCCTGGGTAACAAGAGCGAAACTCCGTCTCAAAAAAAAAAAAAAAAAAAAAAAAGAATTCAAATTTTCAGACTCCAAGTTCAGAACTCTTTCTACCCAAAAGCTATCTGCTGCATATTCTTTCCTTACATCATTTGCTCATTAAACACAGGGGAAACCATCTTTGTATCTCCTGGTATCAATAGCTCACTGCTACAAAGAGCAGCTTCCTCCCTATAATATTTTCTAGAGTATTTAAATAGTTCAACCCCAAGACACTGAGGCAAAAAGTTACTTTCAGTGCTTCCTTGCACAGTCTTCAAGTCAGAAAGAATTCTGGGAAGCTGCATGAACCGGCCAAGAAGAGGCCTGGGCTATGCACAGTCCCTCCATGTCGCCCAACATAGTTCTCTATTACTTCCAGTATCTGCCCTCTTTCCTCCACCCAAGAGTGTTTTCTTGGGTCTGACACCCCAACAGGGGCCCTTCTCAAACACAAACGACCCTAGTCGCCAAATAAACTCGTGCCCACAGCTAAGTCTTCCTTGCCAAACACAGCAGAGGCTCCCAGGAACATTTACAAGAGTGTCCTTTCTCTCTGTCTACATCCCTTGTCCGAAAAACTTCATCTTCCAGAGTCCGCATCCTCTTGGCCCTCGCCCCTCACTGACCCACGCGCACCCTTGCATCTCCTGCAAAACCTCCCAGCTGCCCAGGTTGGCAGGCGATACTTCCTATCTCTCCCAGCCCGGATCTCCTGGACTGCAGCCCGCCGGCCCGATCTGGCTCCAGCAGATCACGGCCCCTTTGGCTACCCCGGAGCCCGAGGCCCAACAGCCCGGTCCCGGCCCCGCCGCCCCGCCTCCCCGCCCAAGGCGCCAAGTCCTCCGGGCTCCGTCTCCAGGCCCAGGCCGGTCTCCAAGGCCCCGCACGCTCCGGGAAGGCAGGAAAGGGGCTGCAGCGACGCTCAGGGCACAGGGTGAGCCGGGCGCTCGGGTGGGAAGGCTCCAGGCCTGGCCGGCTCCCGTCTCCCGCGGCCCGGACTCAGCCCTCTTGGCTTCGCCGGCCCGCGCCTCCGCGGCCTGCCCTCACCTGATCCAGGTTCTCGTCGCTGCCGCTATCCTCTGTGTCCGAGTCGATCACGACACGGCCTTTCCGCTTCTTTACCATGGTGGTCCCCCGGCTCCCACGCCGGACGCCGCCCGGACTCCCCTCTTGCCCGCCTGCCAGTGGGACCGCCACTGCCACTGCTGCCGCCGCCGCCGCCGCCGCCGCCGCCGCTCGACCGACACAAAGGCGACCGCGCATGCGCGCTCCGCTCCGCCCCTGACCCCGCCCCCTGCTCGTCGCACGCCGTTCGCCGGCCCCTGGTGCCCCGCCCTGCCCCGCCCCCGACGCAACGTGAGAGGCGGGACCTTGCACCCTCCCGGGTTCCCGGCAGAGAATGTTGGTGGCTTTCTCCGCGACGGCCGCGGAGTCCTTGACTGTGTCTCTGCTACGGAGCCGAAGTTCGGTGGTGTCTCTATCTGTCGGGGGCTGCAGCCGCAAGAATGAAGGTCCTGTTTGAGGGGGCTCTCGTGTCTGCCGCCTTTCAACTGTCCAATGCTGATGGAGTGTAGGGGGCGACTTCTTGGGTCAGCAGCCTGGAAGACATTAGTCGCCTGGACCACGCGGTGGGCACCGGTTGTGGCTGTAGTGTGCTGACCGGGGACTGTACGAGTGACAGCTGAGCTGGGAGCCGGAGAATGCATCTGAGTTACCCACAAGGACAGTAGAGTGTTGCACGCAGAGAACGCATAGACAAAATGACCTAGCGATGATAATAAAGTTGGGTTCAGAGAACTGAAGTTAGTTATGGCCAGAGTAGAGATTGTGGGTGGGGATAGTCGAGAGACGAGGGTGGAGAGGGACTCGGCAACCGCATCATTCAGAGCCTAATAAGTAAGCTCAATTAGGGAGTTTGAAATTGAGTATTGGAAGATTTTAAACTGAAGAACCACATTATTTGATTTGTGTGGGTTGTTTTTTTTTTCTCTCTTCAT